CAGCAGCAGCAGTACTCTATTTGCTTTATTAAAAATGATGAAATGCAAACAATTTTTTTTGTAAGTTTTTTTCCGTAGATGGAGCTTGGGCTGCATGAAAACACTGGATAAAGGAAAGAAAGATACTGATTAATGGTGCCAATGAAAAAAAAAGAACAACACGCAGCGAGTTCCCAGTATTGGCATGGCTGCTCTCAAATATATGCTACAGGTAGTGGTTTTTCTCTGCTTTTCTGAAAGCTAAAGTCACAACAGAAAACAAAAAAATTAAATTGCTAAATCATAAAGACACATGAACTTCTATTCAGAAACAAGGTGACAAAGAAAACTTGACATAGGGCATCTGCAGCAAAATGCACATAAATGTGTTTTCCAAAGCAGTTTCTGAATGTCTCAAGTGCTGACAGCTCCTACTGTGCCACAGGTTGCTGCTACCTGTCAGGAAGACGGCGTAAACGCAGCGAAACCTTGCGTTCACACCGAGTGTCAGAAAAGTCCATCTTCTTGAACAGAGCAAGTACTTGCTCCACATGACCAACCAGCTTCTTGCACAGAAATACTGAGGGCTTATTCACACACGTATGTGTTTATCTGCATCTTTGTCAAGAAATAGAACAAGGTATTTCCCACACAAAATCAGAGATAAGAAAACCACCAGAGACCATTTGAGATCTCCAAGTGGCCTCGATTCTGCAAGACTGCTTTGTTAAGTGAGATACGAGGGCTCTGTGGGAGTTGGAGCGGCATCTGACAGAAATTTCCAAAGAAAAAGAAAAAGAACACCATCTAGATACAGGGTACAGGTTAAGAGAAAAACAGCTCCGTGTGCAATCTCGAGGCCAGTGGGCAATAATTTCTGCTTCTGAAACAAAATACAGCACTTTGCAGCATTTGTTCCATTACAGACGCTGTTTTCTTTAGTCCCCAGGAAAGCTGCCTGGTTACTATAGCAACAGATACAGGGGAAAGCTTTTCACTTGTAATTGGCCCCTCCTTCAAAATTATACGTGCTATTTTTCCCTAACCTTTTAAATATGCAAAAAAATAGGGAGTAGAATTATGCAAGCCAATAGAGTACACAAGAGCACTTAAAATACACAAGTTAATTTGCTGATAATTTTATTAGTAACACTTTCCCCAACCACCACCAATTATGTTAGTAATATTTACAAAATAATACTGAATTCTTACAAAATAATTAATATGAAAGTTATTCAACTGATATATCCTGAACTGTGAACAGTACAGCAATTATTCACCCCTTGCTGCTTTAGTGTATCTGTACAATGAAGGTTTATGTGCTGGTATGGTAGAAGGAACACATGACAGTGTACAAATTAATTCAGAGGAGTCTGCTGCCTTGCTGATGAAATCAACACTCTAAATAAGAATAAGCTTAAATGAGACAATTTTTACTAGTTGTTGACAATAAAGGTCTCATGAAGGGCAATACACGTATCTTGCAGAGGGGCTGTATTAAAAGCAAACCCACGTACCCCTTTTCAAGCTGCAATTTACTCATAGGGAACTGAAATCTAAGCAGAACACAGTAACAACTTCATTAATAAAGACTGCTTGAGATCCTACTGAAATAGTTCTAAGCCAGCACTTTCACCAACAGTTCAGTACCAGCATGTTATCTGTCTAGTACAGACCAGTGCAGGGTCTAACACCAACGTGTATCTTGTAAACAATCTTGTTCCCATGCAAGGGTTTCATTTTGGTTCACTTCCAGCAGAAAGTAACTGTGCCACTGCACCAATAAAAGTTCCTACATAGGAATTAGGAATTACAGCTTTGTAATAACTTAACTCCACACTAGGGTCACAGGAAACCAAGTCAGGTACAGCACCTATGTCTGCGGTATATCACAGTTGCCATCAGCAAGACTTCAACATAGAATCACAGAATCACAGACTGGTTTGGGTTGGAAGGGACCTTAAAGACCATCTAGTTCCAACCCCCCTGCCATGGGCAGGGACACCTTCCACTAGACCAGGTGGCTCAAAGCCTCATCCAGCCTGGCCTTGAACCCTTCCAGGGATGGGGCATCCACAGCTTCTCTGGGCAACCTGTTCCAGGGCCTCACCACCCCCTCTGGGAAGAACTTCTTTCTGATATCCGATCTAACCCTCCCCACTTTCAATGTAAACCCGTTACCCCTTGTCCTGTCACTACAGGCCCTTGTAAAAAGTCCCCCCCAGCTCCTTGTAGGCCCCTTCAGGTACTGGAAAGCTGTAATAATACTTTTCTCCTAACTTCTTGGCTTCACATACCAACTGGTTGAGGGTGCTTCTCCCCTGTGCTGCAGTTACCATTTAAGCCTTATTAGTAGCTTTATTCCTTCATTCTTTTATCCAGACTCATACAAAGGTAACAACTTATAGGACATCCTACAGAAGGCTAAGGCTATCAAGAAGAGATAAGCAAAACCTGTAGCTGAATAGAAATGTCCTGCTGTTCCAATTACGAATTAAAACAAATTGCATAGTTCATTCCTAGGAAATTTAAACTCTTAAGGAGATTATCTATGATGAAAAAAAAAAAGCCAGAAAACCAAACCAACACCACAACACACAAACAACAAAATCCTCTGTCTCTCAGTTCAACTTAAATGAATCCCACCCTCCCTCCTTGCCCCCCATCCATAAATCTACAGTTTCTGGATTCTCAAGTTTTCACTCCTTTTAATCACTGTTCACAGTTTTCACCCTAGAACCTGGATATCGTTACGTTTGTAGGACTAAGGGCCTTCATGTGTTTTTCTCCATAATCTCTTTGCTTTCCCTTACTGAGTGTTTGTCAAACAAAACTCATTAAACAAAGTACTCCTTTATTCTCGGGTAGATGGAACTAAGAGAGGGAACAAACAGCAATAATGCACTTGCTGTAGAGAAGAGGGGAAAAAAACAACATTCCAAGAAATTTTGTTAATACATGCCAATGCAGTTTCATATGAGAAGGGATAGTTCCATTCAAGAGAAACGGCGTTCTTCTGGGACATCTACAGTGAAGAAAACATCTCAGACCTCACATCCAGCAGTAAGTGCTACAGAAACAGAAATGAAACATAACTGTAATTCTTATTACACTGGCAGGGCTTATACTGGAATTTATCATGCCTTTAGTTTGGTTCATCCCATTTAATGCAATGTATGGCTACCATGTGCTGTGCTTTGTGTTCATGTCTGCATGTTCGTATTTCATGCTGAAATTTTAGAAAGGATGCAATGAAAAAAAAGCTAACTCAAGATCCTAATTAGCTGTTCCAGGATATGCTTTTGAATGAGTTTTGAGCTATCCAGACATGTCAGTTGCTTGGGGAAAAGAAAGTTAAGCCATCTTTCCCATGGGCCTGATATGGCAAGTGGTACGTGTCTGCCAAAGCAATTCTTCACAGGCTGAACAACTGAAGGCATTTGGAAATAGGCAGGTCTTTGAAATAGTATTTTAACAGTGAGAGCTGTTAATATTCTCACTCTAACTATAAGTATTATATATATATATGTATATGTTGGACAGAGTTAGCACATCCTTGAGGAATTACCTGAACTAAGAACAACTTATAAATTAGTGGATTACTTGTTATGCAATGCCACTGAAGACTGCTAGAATACATATTGATCAAAACCTCATTGCCATATGCATAATGAACTGAGTTCAGTGCTGCAGATACTTTGTTCCATTTATTTCAACTTTATCCCCTATTACTATGGCTTTTCAAAAAACTTCTCAGGCTAAAGACCAAATCTGCTGTTATTGTTTGTATTTAGATAGACTGTCTTAGAAAGCATAAACCAGACCAAGCACCCCCCTTTCTCTACCACTCTGAGAAAAGAAAACACCTGCCCATTACACAGCCCCACTCAGAAGACAGGACATTTCTAATCCTCGTCACAGAGGTTTCAAACCATTTTCCTTCATCCGCTATCCCGACAGTCCAGCGGATGTAGCAGCAACAGTTCTGACTTCCCAGCTGCACAGTTATAATGCCTAAAATGTTCTCATCTGTCAAATGAAGTTTGACTCTTTATGCATTTTAAAAACTGCCACTTCATGGCAAATTTGTGAATAATTTCAGACAGGTAAGTGACCAATTTTAAAAAAAGCACCTGTGCAGCTGAGTTGTTCTTTATCAGTGTTAAAAACAGTATTATTATAGACAAAAGCAGACCATATTCACTCATGACTTGCACAATACTGCTGCTCTAAGTCAAGGACTAAGAATCACTGACTGAAAATAAAATAATCGACTTAGAAAAGTCGCATGTGACCTAATCGTGAAAATACTGCAAAAACTAAACTCAATCTTATTCTCCTTAAAAAACAAGAAATTTGGGAAGTTAAACACAAGGACAGACAATAGTTAAATAACTGAAATAAAGGGTTATCTTTAACCATGCTTTAAACCAAAGATAATATTATCGATGTTCATTGCTATAAAACAGTCAACAGGAGCTGACTACAGCCATCAACACATTTACTGAAGGTACTTTAGGATGATGTATTTTCCACCACAGTGATTTTCAAAATTATTTCTAATCTGCCGGTTTTAACATTCCATTTAGAATATATATTTGTCTAGCAAGCCTACGATCTGTATACTATGACCAAAAAAAGACTCTGATAAAACAACTTTTGCTTGGTGGCTTGCAGTCACATACAAAAGGGCAGCAGCTCCTTCTTACAAGAAATTCTAAAACACTGTCCATTTGCCATCATTTATGTTCAAGTGCTTTGTGTACAGCTGCTCGGCTGCTCTCAGCTGCTGCAGGGTCATGTTCAGATACTCATTCAGACACCTCTCATTCTAAATGCAAGCTTTTTTGGTTTGCTGATTTCTTTTTTTTTCTTCTCCCTCGCACTTCTCCTCCCCCCAGCCCCCACACACCGCAGCCCGTTACACAGAGGGCTACAGCCTTGGCTACGGAGCTACCAACCAGTTCCCCTCATTTAGAGGAGAGAATCGGGCAGACAAAAGGTGACAGCAGATAATCATCATGGCATCGGCAAGCCTGCAGTTCTTTGCTTTTATACTGGCTTTGTTTGGTGTTTTTGGAGACATCACAGCCACCCTGCTGCCCAACTGGAAGGTAAACGCAGATGTTGGTTCAAATATCATAACAGCTATAACACAGATGCAAGGACTTTGGATGGACTGCACGTGGTACAGCACGGGGATGTTTAGCTGTACCCTGAAATACTCCGTTCTCTCTCTCCCCGTCTACATCCAGGCTGCACGGACCACCATGGTACTGTCTTGCATCCTGTCAGCCTTTGGGATCTGCATCACTACAGTTGGAATGAAATGCACAAAGCTGGGAGGGGACACTGACAGCAAAAGCCACGCGTGTTTTGCTGGAGGAGTCTGCTTCATTCTTGCAGGAATCTTTGGATTAGTACCAACATCCTGGTACACAAGAGAAATTATTTCAAGTTTTCTGGACCAGACCATCCCAGAGAGCAGTAAACACGAACCAGGAGGAGCAGTTTATACAGGATTCATTTCAGCAGGGTTTCTGCTTATCGCAGGTGTGATCTTCTGCACTTCCTGTTTTAAAAGGCATCAAGGAGCGTGGATTTACCCTCCAAAGCAGCACCATTTCCCATCCACAGAGCAGGAGAGCAACACAGGTTACAACCTGAAGGACTATGTGTAAATACAGTTATTTCTATCCACTGAGGCTTTTTTTTGTGCTAAGCGTAGTTTGATCATGTCAAAGAATGTGTAACATAGCACTTCACTTGCATCTGCGTTGCAATTATGTTTAAGCAAGGTATATTATCCATAGCGGCATCCCCAGAACGAATGAAGTAGGAAACAATGCTTATGTCTGCCATAAGAATACTTTTTTGTTGATTTTTTAAAAGCCATTCCTTTTGACTTTAAAAATAACATTTATTGATGAAAAGTAACTACTTTAAAACATAACTGATAGTACAATTAATGCACTGATGGCTTGTTACAACAAAGATGCTTAAAAATGAACTATCAGGCTATCAATAACATAGTGTTTTATAGTGTATTTTATATTTTGATCTTTATCTTGATTATGGCACAAGGAAAAAAAAAGTAAACCCAAAACACTCTGTCCAAGAAGTCAGATGCAATGGTTTTAAAGTAACAGACACATCTGCCTTCTATTTTCAGTTCTAAATTACCTTGGTAACTAGTTTTAAAAAAATCAAAACCAAAACCCACACAACACCAAACAACACACACGCACCACCTCCAAACAAAAACACACAACAAAATCCCATAGCCTCAAACCTTAGCTGCTTGCATATTCTGCATGTCACGCTGAAGAATCAGCAGTACCATTCAGTTCTAGCCAAAACCAGCTCTCCCGCCCCAAACTGCCACCTGCTGTGGGTTTAATTTATTACTGCTAAAGAAATGTCTACTGGACATTCATCAGTTGCTACTAATCTATCACTACACAATGAATGTTAGACCTGAGGACCAATACAGCAACAAAGTATAACCATGACTATGAAAACATCTGCCAGCTGTAACACATAGGATACAAACTAAGTATCTACATTCCCGAAAAATCCAGAAGTGTTCTGGCTTACACTTGCTCAAGGTAGCTTTTAACTGCTCAAATAATACAATCACGACTTGTTTCTGGCCTTCTGAAAGAACTTTGAGTCTTTTTAATTATTCCAGTAGAGTCTGTTTCAGACCCACTCCCATGTATTCTATTACTGTAAAATGTAATATACAATGGTGATAGAGACAGCTTCTTAATTTTATTTTCTTAACCCCCTTATTTTGATTAATAATCTTACTTCCTTTAACCTTTTCTTTGAACACACAGATTTTTGTTTTGCATTTGTCATTAGCAGAGTATGTTCTATCTAAATGCTTCCTTAAACAAGAATGAGATTGATGTTAATTTGCTACCACGGGAAAGGGAAAGAAAACAGGATATCATATGGGCCTTTAAATTTAGGAATATGATAATGCTGGACAAGTCCTTCAACCAAACCAACTGCTATTTGTTCTGTGTACTTACGTATAACTTATTTCCTGTACTAGTAGCCCGAAATGCACTAAAACCGTATGAAGGGGCCTTAATATTACAAGTATAGATGGAAAAACTGAGATCTTCTGTTACAGCACTGAGCAAGTGAAATGTTTAATGCATCTCATATGCAAAGAGTCTTTATTCTAGTATACATAGAATGGAATTACATCTTGTTTTTATGGCTACTGATACGTAGCCATTTTGAGTTTCATCAAGGAGCTTGTTTTGCACTATACTCAGTGCTACTGTCAGCAGTTATTCAGTACTGCAGAGACTTATCTATGGCCAAAAAACCAAACTTGCTTTGCTTAGACACAATGCTGTGCAGCACTGTTCCATTCCATAAACCAAGTGTCTTTCACTTCTTAACATTCCTAGGTATTACTGAAATAACATTAATTCATTGAGCAAATAAAGTAAACAACACATGCCCAAAAACATGCATCTCCTCCTTCAGAAGGGGTTTGACATGGCACTAAGCTGTGACCATTGCTAGGTATGTGAATTAAAACTAGCATTCGTAAAATAAGAACCACAGGCGTGTTTACAGGAGGGCATAAGAAAAGGTGATAATTGCATACTGTGAGCAAAATGAAGTTTTCAACAGTTACATAAGCATCAAATTTTTCTTTCTACAACTTTATACAGAAGCACTTCTCTGTATAGCTAGGAAACACAATATCAAGTACTGAGCCACGTAATTCACAACATGCTGCAAGAGCTTTCCAAGAAAACCAAGATTCTATCAGAAATGGTGGTATCGAAAACCATGAGCCGGTCTATGGCTAAGAGAACAGGGACAAACCTAAGGTCAATCTTTCCTTTTGTTTGAAGGAGACAAAATACACTGAAAACAGGTGCCAGGTCTGTTTGAAAAATGTGTACTTTCTGCTTTTGCAATAAGCAATACTTGTTTTAACTCAAAGAAGTGTATTGAATAAATATATGCTTGCTTTCAGTGGTACTGCCTTTTTTATTCAGCAGAGCACCAACTGACTGTAGGATTTGCTTATGCCAAGACATTTGTTACAACTCTACGCGTTACCTCTCAGTCAACTATGGCCTTTTTCTGTACAGGAAAATGGGAGTATCAGTTTAGAGCTTCCCAATTCTGAGACACAGTCTGCACACGATTTTTGACCACACTAGCTCTACTATGCCCTCAAATTGTATCCACCATTGAGAAACCACCACCACGGAACTGGAATTATTGCCTTTCTGAACACTATTTCACTTATTTAACAGTAAGATTGACACCCTGAAATTATTTTTCATTCAGGTAGGAGTCAGGGGGGAAAGAAAACAACCCAAAAAATGCAAAGCAAAAACTAAGATGTCTTAAGCATGGTCCTTTTTCTTCACAACAGACTGCTGTCACGGCTAGTAATTTAACAGTTCCTTGCTAAAAAGATACTAACAGAATTTTAAATCATCACCAGAATATGCCCCAACAGAGGCCACACAATTCACTGTGATAAAGGAGAGAGAAGGGCCATCCAAAGGTTCTCAAGAGATAAGCCTGAAGAGTAAGACGACCAAGAGAGAGACTGTGATAAGGGGGAAGAGAGGTGTATTGCTGAGCTGAACTAACCAATTTAAGAGGGACTTTCAGAAGCTGCAAGTTCATTTTTGAAACAGAAGAGCAGATTTTCTACATGCATGAAGGAGAAGCAAACCCCACTTAGTGTCAGACACACTTGTACAGAGAAAAAAAAAAATCTTGTCCAAAATGCATTTTAATTTATTAGTTCTCAATTCCTGTAATCCTAATGGCTATTAATAAAACCCAGAGGCAATAGATCAGAGGACAGCAAAGAGACTCTTCTCCTCTACTCACTCAAGAGCAGATAGGACGAAGAAAAGATTGTTACTTTTTTAAACAGGCAGTGGGATGTAGGTGACAAAGTGCTACAGTGAATAGGAGGGAGTTGAATATGCTGAAGATGAGTAGGGTGAAATGTAAAGATTATAGACAAGCTAAGATTAGAGATCTTAGAGCAAGATGACAAACGAAAATCTATTCTTTATCAGGGTCTTTTGAAAGACTCAAATTTTCCAGGCAGAATTCCCAAACTGTTTAGAAATGCAAACTGTAAAACAGCAGGCTTTCCAGAATGCTACAAATCTAGCAGACTATCCTGTCGATAAATCCTAATCTCCCTCTCCAGAAAGGCCCAGAGAAGTATGCTGATCTTGCAGATAGGCTTGAAGGTCAAAGCCAAGTTCTGAGGAAACAAAAAGAAAAGCATCTTCTTGAAGCAAGTCTGCTTCCTTTACAGGAATATCACATCACTCCCCTTTGCAGTATAGGGACGTTAGACGAGAGCACCCACCTGTGCTCCTTCCTCAAAATCTGACACATTGCTTGACTGACAAATTAACAAAACCCCCCAAAGAAATACATCAAAACTTACCTCTGGCTTTGGAACAAAGGCTTGACCTGGAATTACGAAACAGTTTTCAACCGTGCAGAGATGCTGAGACATGATGGACAGTCTGCTACGTTGCTTACCTCCTGGATTAGCTGTAAGCCTCTGTCAAAGAATCAGAACACGTAAATCAGTGAAACAGAATTTGCCAAGTGAACAGTTACTTTAAAGCTCGATTTTCTGTATAATCATAGGCAAAGAAAAATACGAAAGCCCCAATTGTTTAGAACTCGCATCAAAGTTTATGCCCAGTTCACCTAGAACTTTTTCTCCAATGTAGCAGCATTTCACTGAGATGCCATGTTAATTTACAACCTGTCCCGCAATGAAATGCACGTGAAAAGGAGCTCCTTGAACTTCATGAATGTCAAAAGAATTTTGTATGGGCCAAAGGGAAAAACAAACACTTCTGACTGCAGGATTCAAACCAAACATAACACCAGCTGACAGTATTCTCATATCCTCTCCTTCCATTGCCTCTGTATCAAATATTACTATTTTTTCTCCTTCAAGATGAAACAAAGCTTTATAAACTCAAAATCAGAAAGAACCTAAAATTTCTTCATTGTTAACTACTCTACACTTACAATGTATGCCAGGAAGCTGGATCTACTTTACATAAATTTAGAATACCTAACAGTAAGAGCATTTAATACTTAATGCTCAATTTAGTACTTTTCTGATTTTCCCAAAAAAATTCTTACCAAAAAAGTGGAGGTTTTCTACACTTTCAAGGCCTGGCAAGAAACATGTTCTGTGTGTTTTGCTAACACAAACAAGATTTTAACATAAAAAAGCACCCAGTAAAGTAAGTCTGAAATGGTAAAAGACATTAACTAAGCAGAAATATAAGTGTGAAGATTCCTGGTCTTATTTACCACTACATTAATAAAAAATGAAAGATGAAAATCAATTTGTGTATCTGGTAACATCATGTAGCTTCAGATGAAAAGCCTACTCATGAAAATCTGCCATGCTTATTAAATCTTTTGCTGAAAAATAAAATTAATCCTATTGCTGAAGTTTTAAGTCTTTTTTTAAACAACTCTCTGAAAGGCAATTTAACCATCAGGATAGAGCAAATAAAATATTTTTCAATGACTTTCCAGAAAGAAAGCTCAGCAATTCTTTTTTCCTACATCAGCATTTAAATCTACCTTCATTATTGTTTCAGAGGAAACTGATTAAAAGAAAAAAAAAAAGCATCTGCCACGGTAATTATTCTGTGAAAAAAACCTCAGGCTATGAAGTCTAACAATGCAATCAGATATGCACTTCCTTAACCTTTGCAGTGGAACTGAAACAGACCTAATGACAACACTTGCAGTCCTTCCGATGCCAGTTCAAAGAAGCCAGTCTTTACTTCCCACAAAAACAATCTAACGAGTATCAGCCAGTTAGTTCCTGCTTCTCAGCTACAGAAGGGTTAACTTCACAACATCCACTTCTGGGCAGTAACATCTTAAACCACTTAACACACATCAGCAG